TCGAATAATTGTAAGCTAAGTATCTCCTCAGATAAATATGCAGTGAAAAGAATTGGTTGGTTTTCCTTTCCACCATCGCAAATATTTTGATATTTTTGGCTTTGAAATTTTAAAAAGTTTTTTTAAAAAAAGAAAATGAGCAGGTTGTGAGTAAAGAGCACATTTTGCCTCTGTTTTCCTCAAAGAGAATGATAGACATTCATATATCTGGGGAAGAAAATGATATTTACTCAAAAACAAAGACTGTGGTAAGGAAGAGCTATTTCTACAGAGAAAAATCTCATTTACTGAAATAAGCAACATGATTGTTTTTAACCATTCGTATTCTGGATTACAAATTTATGACACTAATATCATGATTTACATGGGATAAAATAACAAAAAAAAACACATCTTTGTATGGCCCAGACTTCAATAACTTCTATAACAGTGGTTCTCAACCTTTTTAATGCCGCGACCCCAACCAGTCGTAAGTCGAGGACTAAACCGGTTGTAAGTCGAGGACTAAACCGGTCGTAAGTCGAGGACTACCCAACCGGTCGTAAGTCGAGGACTTTCCTTGCCCGGGAGCGCCGCGCATGCGTGGTTCTGCCCCCTGCGCCGGCCGAGGCGTAGCTGGCAAGCAGCAGAGATGGAGCAGGCCGACCACCAGCTGGCCCAGCTCAAGGGAGGTAAGGCACCCGCCGGAAAAGGGATAAAAAAATGGCGGACAAAAAAAATGGCGGACAAAAAAAAATGGCGGACAGCCTTGCTTGGCGACCCCCATGAAATGGTCGATCGACCCCAAATGGGGTCCTGACCCACAGGTTGAGAACCACTGTTCTATAAGATGTGTTCATGGCTACTAATTTAGATGAATTTTGAAAAGGACTAGACCAGGGGTAGGCAACCTTGGCTCTTTTATGACTCGTGGACTTCAACTCCCAGAATTCCTGAGCCAGCATGGATTAGCCCCTGGACTAGACAAATACAAGAGATAAAGACTAGGGATTAACTGCGGACAATTCTGCTTTGTGGATTTTCTAGTTAGTTCCTATACAAAAAAGAAAGGTTGCAGAAGATGGAATTTTGATTTGATCTACTAAGCTCATCATATCTTATAGAATTACGTTCTCCAATCTGGTGCCTTCCAAATGTATTCTGCCAGAATTCCCAGCTAGAGAGGTTAAAAAAAATGCAGCCAAAATTTTAAAAAGTGAAATTTAGCAATTACTGGAAGGCACTATAGCAGAACTGACCGGAGTAACTGTAAACCTTGAATTCAATTTAGATACAACTACTTGGTTTGTTTTTTTTTTAGCTTTGATGATGACGATGCTAAAGTTTTAGGGGATTGGACATAGCTGAATATAATATTGGGGTTAGGTGTGTCTGCCTGTGTACAGGTAGTCCTTGGCAGCTCCATTGCTAAGCACTGTGGTTTCTAAGCAATGTGATGTTGTTTCCCATTTGGTGATTAAGTGAATCAACATGATTGTTAAATTAGACTGCAATTTGCAAATGTTTACTTTCATGTCTTCCATGAACTCTGCTTATAACTTTGAATGTTTGCTAAATGAGGCAGTCAGTAAGTGAAGACTATCTGTATTAAAATGCATGCACCGTTTCTAGAAAGCAAATTACATAGCTATTATAAACGTTTGCACAGTTTCATGCATTCCCAGATAATGCTGAATTGGGAAGCTTTTAGAAAAAGTGCAGAATATTTAAAACAGATTAGAATGGAACTGTATAGGAGAATGTCCAGTTGAATCTGCTCTGGGACCACAATTCATCAAAGCTTCTTTAAATAAGAAGCATTAGCATACTTAGCCCTTTGTGACCACTACATAGCAATCCCTTTATAATTTAACAAAGTATAGTTATGTAATTGCAAATGGGAATCACATTTTGAAAATTTATTCACCAGAATTTATTTATACACCGGTCTTTTAACATGTTTTAGAAACACGTTCATTGTAAGAGAATCTCAGCTGCTAATATACTTTTTGCTACTGAAAGAACATGCAGTTTATATTTTCAATAGATCTCTGACATACCAGTTTTTCTTTCATGATTATAGATATGTGTTTTATTGAATTTTAGATCAAAAGATTAATGTATTTTATATCTGCAACTGTATTGAAGGAAATTGGAAACTTAAAAAAAAGGATCTGCAGCTTATTCTACCCAGATAGTACATTTTATCACTGACATTTCAAACAGAGATAAATAGTTTCACTTGATACTACCTTGTATTTTTTGCTATGTGGTGTCGGAACTGCATTGGTTCACCAAGAATGAAAAACAAAGAAAAATAATCTCAGTGAAAATCTTTAAAACATACTCAGTGCAGAACCAACTCTGCTTGGAGGGGGGAAAATGAGTATTTTGTTGAAATCCACACATCTTCAAGTTGCCAAGAGAAACACTGGTATATACAGTACAATCTCCTGAATCAGAGTGAATGCCTTAAATAGTTGCTAAAGAGTGATGCTATTAGAAGACTGTCCATGCTTATGAGTTTCCTGAATGCCTCTAAACTGCTCTCTCGCTCTCTCTGATATAGAATGCTGGATTAGATGGGATTGACTTTCCTTGTATTCTTAATTGGTCAAATTTATCCATGTTTGGTATCCTAGCATTACTAGTATTAGCATTATTAGTATTATCCTAGTATTCATGTCAGTTTTATTTCTGTCAGATGTTGCTTACTCTTCTATTTTTGCAAAAGTTGTAATAAATACACATCAGAGTTATTTTCTCTAGCAAGACTACATTTGAACAAAATTGAATAAGCATGCCAATTGGTCTACTTCCACATGATTGCAATGTTTCAGTGATAACCCTTCCATGACTGTCCTCGGGATTTTTGCATTTCATGTGGGTCATGTGCTTTATTTGTTAAAATTTCACAAATTTGTCTCCTTCAGACAAATTCTCTTTATTTTCTTTATAAGTCTGGAGAGGAAGTGAATTTTCTTTTATGTGGGGAATCAGGTGACATAGACTGCCCTTTTTGCAGGAAAATGTCTACAATTCTAACTTCAGGTTTTATTTCAAAGCAAGGTAATTCAGTTTGAGAATTTGATTCTAAAATGTTCTTCAGATTTTTTTTATTTGAAAAGATTGTCTTGCAAGTATACTTCACAGTGCATATATTATAATATTTAAAAGTTCTGAGGAATAATAGTGAGCAAAGTAAATCAAAATTGAAGCTACTAGAGAAAACATAAGCAAATCTTCATCAGCTGTAATTAACATTACTGTAATGATTACTAGGCAGTTTTTAAAATATAAAGGTAACCCAACATTTCGTGAACTTTAATTTATGAGCAAAATGTCCAGATCTGACAGCCTTTTAAAACTAAACAATTCAGAAAGATTTTCCAATTTTCATCTAAGTTTCTGGTGCTAATCTGAGATGATATTAGAGCTGCTGATATATTATTACACACATATTTTTAGTTTCAAGAAAATGCAGAGTTTTGAAAGTCACTGATTAGATATGGATCAGGTTTCAAAAGAATTATCCTGTTGACCCTTTGTATGTCTGAAAAAAATAATTTTCAAAGAAAAATCGTGTAATTGCAATCAGGTGAAGAGATAATTACAATGACATTGGTTTAAGTGGAAATTAAATGCAAATGAGTACATAGGATGAATCAGTAGCAAAGATTACTTTCAACAGTTTTCTTTCTCTCTTATTTAAGGTATTATTTTAGTTGCATGTAAAAAATTAACACTCAAATTCCTGTAGGCGCTGATCTAGTACATAATACTTAGAATCTAGATGGATGTACTTATTAGAGATTAAACAGAGAGAATTCATTTTAGTCCCAATGTTGCAAAGCTGCTCTCAACAATTAAAATGTGATCAAAGTAGGCATTTAAATATGCATTTTAAGAAAAAGGGTAAAAATTTAAACATATAATTGCATAAATACATAGTTTGAAAATTGACTATTGTAAAAAAAAAACCTATATCAAGAATGAAAACAGTGTGAAGATAATATGGACTAGAGATAAATTCAGTCATTTTTACTGGTTATTAGAGGAAACCATTTCAATACATAAAATTTTAACTCTTTTAATGCTGTTTGCACCCTTTTCCAGCTTTGTGGGGTCTTTGGTGTTCTCTGAACTTGATTGGTTTTTATGTAGACATTTCATTAACCAACTAGTTAATATCATCCTACCAGCAGACAAAGGCCAAACCATGGTGATCATGAACATATCACAATATATACAAAAAGCTAAAGAATTACTGGAAGACAAAGTCGAGCACTGATGATCTCACCTGGCTGGGTAATGAAATGTCTGCAAGAAATCAGTCAAGCTCAGAGAGCACCAAGGATCCCATGGTTCAACCCTCAGCTACAAGTATTCTTTTCTGAGCTTTTTAATACTCTATGGAGGCCGACATATAGTATAACGGGGACTATATGCCAAAAACTGGTTAAAAGATAAAACTGGTTAAGGTAAAGAACTGGGCATTGGGAAGAAAAAATTAAATTGGATTTAATTTTAATGTAACATTAAATAGGGTTAAATATAAATAATTCAATATTAATTTAACTAATATGATCACTCCTGTATACAGTATTTAAACAATTACATTCCCTAAAGCATAGAGAAGTTGTAAGAGACCTAGTTGAAGATCTAGCTTAATATTGCATAGAGCCTGAGGTAACATTCCACAAATGGTCCTAAAAATATTGTGGAATTTTGAGGTGAGCTGAAGGGAAGAATGAAGAAGCTGGCTAACTTTGAGTCTCTGATGGGAAGGAAGCAGCTGAAAGGAGATCGATGTATATCTAGTAGTTTGGTGTGTGTGTGTGTGTGGGAGAGATTTAGTGTGGCCAGATTCCTGTCTATAGATGAGTAACAATAAACATACCACTCTGTCCAGCTCCTTGTGTCTCTCCTTGTTCCTTGCACCTGACAAATATATCCTTAAAAAAGGAAGATGGCCAAAGCATTAATCCTCTCTTTCTTTTTAGTAGAGGTGCTGAGAACCGACATGGCTTTCGCCAACAGACTGTAGTTAGAGAGAAAGGCAGGAGATCTGCTGTTCGAGGCCCAGCATATATGTTTAATGATCATTCAACCAGCCTTTCTATTGAGGAAGAGCGTTTTTTGGAAGCGGCAGAATATGGCAATATCCCTGTTGTCCGTAAAATGCTGGAGGAATGTACTTCGCTCAACGTGAACTGTGTGGATTACATGGGCCAGAATGCATTACAACTGGCTGTAGCAAATGAACATCTGGAAATCACAGAGCTGTTACTTAAGAGGCAAAATTTGTCACGCGTTGGAGATGCGCTACTCTTAGCCATTAGCAAAGGCTACATCCGAATAGTTGAAGCCATTTTGAACCATCCCGCATTTGCAGAAGGGAAGAGGCTGGCCACGAGCCCCAGTCAATCGGAGTTGCAACATGATGACTTTTATGCCTACGACGAGGATGGAACTCGATTCTCCCATGACGTGACCCCTATTATCCTCGCTGCCCACTGCCATGAGTATGAAATTGTGCATATCCTGCTGAGGAAAGGAGCTCGGATTGAGAGGCCTCATGATTATTTCTGCAAATGCAGTGAATGCAACAAGAAGCAAAAGCATGACTCTTTCAGCCATTCTAGGTCCAGGATCAATGCTTACAAAGGTCTAGCAAGTCCAGCGTATCTATCTTTGTCAAGTGAGGACCCAGTCATGACTGCCTTAGAACTGAGCAATGAGTTGGCGGTGCTTGCAAACATTGAGAAAGAATTCAAGGTAAGATTTTAATTAATGAATTGTCATTACATAACCTCTTTTGGAACAGAGTAAATCTCTTAAATTCTTCCCATTACCATAACAAAACACATAAACTATAAAAAAAAGATTTTAAGGAAGTCTTAAAGTAGACTTTGAAGGTTTGACTCCCATATTTTGCATTCTAAGTTAAATGTGAAAAGAAATTCAGTCACATATGTCAAGACAGTTTGCAAAGTTAAAACTAATATTGGTATTAATTACTAATATTTTTCTGGGGGCCTGATGGCTCAGCAGTTAACGACTCTAAACTTGTCAGCTAGAAAGCTGACAGTTTAGGTTTGAGATCCGAGCACTGAACAATATGATTCATAGAAAGTCATAGAATGTGAACTTACTCTCCTTGTAATTCTTAGAGAAACTTGCATGCAAGGCAGGACTTTTAGAATAGTGAATTTTTTAGTCTGTTTAGGACAATCTCTCATTTTTGCTATCCCATAAATTAAAATGTATTGAATTAAAACCCATGTGCTCCGTCTGCCTTTTACATGAAACAGTTGAAACCACAATTTAAGGGAAAACAACTATACTTTATTCACAAAACAGAAGATCAAAAGCAAAGCATGTTCAAAGTAGCTTACAGTAGTTTATAGGTTTTTTCCCTGCAAGCTAAAACTTGATAATAGCACTGCAATAAAATCTGGATCAGATCCAAAGAATGCTGTTGATCAGAGTGACTTTTTCTATTATCTGGGCAGGGGAGAAAAAAAAAACAGAACTGGAGAACCATATTTCTATGTTGGGTTTCCTATTATATATCACGCATAACTGACTTCTCTTATTAAGTTTGTAATTAACCATAAAATCCAGGGCTTCTGTTCCTTGATTGTTCATTACCTGATCATTCAATTATGCTTTAGTCATAATATTTTTTATTAGATTCCATCTTCCTTACACAAGCATCATTGGGGTTTTTTTTGTAAGATCTGCAGAAGCCTTCCATTCCTTCCTCCTAGTTTTCAGAAAATCAGCAAGCAGTTGGTTATTTCATCAGGGCTGCTGTGACTATCTCTGTGGATGATGAATTTGCCTTATTGTAATTGGACAATTGATCTGTGGTTTTTATAGTAAATGATTTTATTTTTAAAATCTGATTACTCATCTCTCTGATTTGATTCATGGACATGAGGAGTTATACAGCACTCAGTAGATGAGATCAACCTATAAGTCCTGCAAATATCTATTTATTTAGTAAACACATTCACCTAATCCCTTTTTGATGTAGTCAGAATTGCTCAAAATGGAACCTATGTTTTATTATCTTGAACACTGTCCTACATTATTTCAAGTTCTGCAGTATAGAAAATATGTTTTGAAGGCCAAAAGTCCATCCATCCATCCATCCATCCATCCATCCATCCATCCACCCACCCACCCACCCACCCACCTACCTACCTACCTACCTACCTATCTATCTACCTATCTATCTATCTATCTATCTATCATGCTGCCCATTTCACCAGAGGTGACTCGAGATGGCTGATAGACATTCAGTTAAAATGTACTCTAAAATATTAAAACAAAAAATAAGGATCATAAATTTAAAATTAATTGAAAATTATTAAGGATTTTCTGTACTTTCCTTTTATACCATTTCTATAATGAACTACTAATTGTGCAAGATTAGGGGAAAGTGAGGATGAGATATTTGAAGGTTTGTTTCAGAAGCATCTCAGTCCTTATCAGCTGAGTGATATGACAAAAAGCATTTAGAAGAGATTCTACCTTAATTAACTCACTATAAAAGAAGCTAAGAGGTTATTCTCATACTTTTCAAGCTTCTGCATTTCACCCAGCATCAAATATACCTTCCTGAAATTTTAGCATTTCTTGCCTCTTTGATCTTTCTCATTAGCTGAGGCTTAATACTAGTTTTGCATGACAATCACCTGTTATTTCTGAATGCTGAATTTTTGTCTATTGCTTAAAATTGTTAGTTAAATATTTTATTAGTCTTGGCACATTTATTTATTTCTTAAAATGTATATAGCCACCCATCTACCAGAGTACTTCTGAGTGGCAATCGAAAACAGAAATTAGAATTTAGAAAACCGTTAAAAAATTTAAAACTCTGCATTGAGGCACCCCAAAATTTCATTACTAACATGTCAACACAGCCACACCAATGCCCAAATTCCATTCACATCCTCACCCTAGTACATGGGGAGAAAATCCAAGTCTTCGCAGCCTTCTGGAAGGCTACTAGGACCAAGTCTGTCTGTATCTTGGGAGAAACTTCCACAGATAGGCAATGGGACAGAGAAGGCATGCTTCCTAGCACTCACCAAGTAACGTTACTTTGCTAATGGGACTTGAAGCACGCCACTCTGCCCAATGCAATGCAGAAAAAATTGGGAAGAGACAGTCCCAGAAGTATCCTAGCCCCATGTCATGAAAGGCATATACAAAAGGGCTGTCAAGTGCTGGGGAAATCAGAAGATCCCGGCAGTTCAAATGGGTATAAAGATTTTTTGCAAGCTTAAGCTCTCTACAAGAATCTGAATTACTAACAGTCAAAGTAAATTGGCAGTAGATAAGTGTCAAAGGAATTCAAAGTGGGCTGGACTTAGATCTCTAGTGGCCATGAAGGGACTTGAGACTCATGACATGTTTGACTCCTGCACTGGTCAAACATGTCATCAGTCTTGAGTCCCTTCACTCAATCTGGTCACTTCCTACAAAGGCTGACATATGGTTCCTAAAAATTGCCTTGCTGTATTTAACATTGCATGCCAAATACTTCACTCCATTATTTCACAGTCATCTTTAATTTCTTGGAAGTCAGTGTCCCATTATTCATTGGTAAACCTTCATAACATTCATCAACCTACACCTGGTGGGGAGCAGAAAATTCCACAGCTAGATCAGAAGTAGAACACAATCTGTAGTAGAACCCTTCTATTTCCAACAACCTACTAAGAGAGTTCCCTTGTACTCTGTGTTACTGAGTATGGAGAGATTGTTTATTTACTCATCAACTTTTTTTCCTTCAAAGAACGATTACAAAAAATTGTCAATGCAGTGCAAGGACTTTGTGGTTGGACTTCTTGATTTGTGTAGAAACACAGAAGAAGTGGAAGCTATCCTCAACGGAGATGTTGAACTGAATCATGGGGAGCATGGACGTCCAAGCCTGAGCCGCTTAAAACGGGCTATAAAATATGAAGTCAAAAAAGTGAGTTGTGAGATTCTTAGCAGGAGGGCTGAGGGATTTTCAATTAAGCCCTTCACAATTTTCAACAAAATTTTTATTGGTTTTATTTTACATGGTGGCAAGGCCATCAATTAATCAAAACGAAATCATATTTATACAATTCAAATTATTTCAATATAATTAACTCAGTTATACATATAACTAATCTATTATTATTTTAATATATCCTACTTCCCCTTAAGTCAATACTAATAACTCTATCCCTATACTCCTCCCAC